GGACTGCCTAAAAGCTTTACGCGCCATTGCGTACGCTAACGCCATCGCCCGCGGACTGGACTCGCTACCTGAACACGGGTTTTCAGTTCAAAATGCCGAAAACACCTCCAATACCTCCAACACCTCCTTGGAGAAGAAGGCCGAGGCCGCCTTTGATGTCCTCGTGCAACAGGACCTCCCGGCCTACATTACGTACATGTGGATCCAGACAGTCAGCGTGTCCATCAAGAGACGCATCACGGGGACCCTTCCCGTCCAATTGAGGGAAATGTCAGAAGGGTTGGCGGAGGTGTTCTGTCTGACGGACCCCTCAAGGCATGATAACCCCATTGTGTTCGCCTCAGAAGGTTGGTTTTCCCACCGTAACGCTTCCAACGAACCGACCTAACCTCATCAAAAGAGTTTCATAGAACCACGCAGTACGGAATGAACTATGTGATCGGTCGTAACTGTCGGTTTCTCCAGGGCCCGAAGACCAACCCTTTCAGCGTAAAGCGGATCCGAGACAAGATCCTGGCTGGCCAGGAGCACTACGAGACCTTCCTCAACTATCGCCGTGACGGCTCACCGTTCATGAACCTGCTCATGGTCGCACCCCTCTACGACAGCCGGGGTACGGTCCGCTACTTCATCGGCGCCCAAGTTGACGTCTCTGGCCTCGCCAAGGAAAGTTCCGGCCTAGACGCCCTCCAAAACCTTGTTGTGGAGAAGGAGGCTGCTGCTGCTGCTCATATACGGGAACAGGAAGTCGACGAGGAGAAGGATGAGTTCCGGGACCTGAGCGAAATGTTCAATATGACAGAACTCGAGACCGTTCGCAGGCGAGGTGGCAACATGCATCGCGTTCCCCAAGACGAGGAACATGCAGCCACGTCAACGAACTGGCACAAGCCTCGCATCCTCATTCAGGATGAGACTTCGTCTATCCAACAACACACCTTAGTCCCGACCATTCACAGCGGCAAGCTCTCCGGCGTGTATGAGCACTATTTGCTAGTCCGTCCCTATCCCAGCCTGCGCATTCTCTTTGCTTCGCCCTCACTGAGGGTGCCCGGAATCCTGCAATCCAACTTTATGGACAAGATCGGCGGGTCCAACAGGGTCCGTGACGGCCTCCACAGGGCCTTCGCCGAGGGCCACGGGGTGACTGCAAAAGTTCGGTGGATGAGCAAGTCTTCCAGCGAAGGCCGGATCCGCTGGATACATTGCACACCACTCCTTGGCAGCAACAGTGCTGTGGGCGTATGGATGATTGTCCTTGTCGACGATGAATCTGACGCTGGCATGCGAAAGGGAAAAGAGGCTCCCCCGGTCGATGGGCGTTTGCGTCGGACCGGTGCCCTGCAGCAACCGCGTCCCTCGAAAGACGATAACATGAGCCTGTCATCTTTCGCCGCAATGAACAAGGCCCGCGACGAAGTAGATGCGCCCGCAGATTTCGACATTGACCCAGACCGGCCCGGAAGTCGAGCGAGTCGATCGAGTCGGCTGAGCCGAGGGCCTGCCGGATCCCGCCGACCCATGTCCCCGGCCTTCAGCGACAACGACGAGCCTCCCCGGCCTGCGTACACGGTGCGATTGGAGGAGGATTAGTCGCGCGCAACTTGGAATATTTGAAAATGGTCTATTTGTTCCTTTGTACTTGATACCACAACTTCTTTGTTACCGGCACCGGATTATAATGTTACACCGCGCGCAAGCATTGATCTAGAAAGAAAGGTGGTTTGCGGGCACCTGATGTATCATGCTGAATGCATCCTTTTCATAGTGTATATACCCTAATTCAATATTTGCGTTATACCGTACTCTCCATGATACTGCTTTGATCAGTGAAGTCAAGTTGCATGCGACGTTGGGCGGAGTCTAAGCGCCCATTAGTGTGGACTTTTCATACTAATGCCACCATGCTCAGCGGTGCTAGCCAGTGGCAACCAAATTTCTTTGAAAAGCTCGTTAGATCCTAGTCATGTCTGAATGTTCCAATTGGACCCCTCAGCAATTCCAGTTGTACATTGTGCTATTGGGGTAGGCGCCAGGCGAGTTCGGGAGCAGGGGCATCTTTCTCAGGCTTCATTGACTTATCGTCATGTTCATCAGCTCGTCAAATTCATGTAGTCTAAAAGTACCGAGCTGCAAAGGCCTACTCAGGCCTACCAAAGACACTCGTTATCTAGCCCGACGCACATCCCGCGTAACCCAACCTTGGGACACGACAGAATCAACCTAGCTGATCTATGCAGAGAAAAGCGTGGATATGGTTGGCATCGTGGAAGATGTCGATAGGCAAGTCTCAGGCCGGAGCAGAACCGGCTTGCTCTAGTAATCGTGCACGCCATCCATCGCAGACCTCCTCAAAGCCACTCACAACATCGCCGCATACCCCCGCGCACTCGCGTTTCCGCAGTCGCTCGCTCCAGTTTCCACGTGTGAGCCACCGCTCGCCTTCCTCGCAGAGCTCCTCCTCTCTCCTGATCTCGGCAACTAGCTCCTTGGCGCTCTTCAACCGACGGGTGGCTGTCGTAGTCGTCTGCCTCGACATGTGCAAGGTGTCCGATAAGTAGTTGAGGCTCTGGACGAGGTCACTTGTGAGGGTGTGGAGCGCCGTCAAGGAGTCATATGCTTTCGTCGTTGGCCGGGGCATTGACTCTGACAGCTCGAGTAGGAGGGGCAACAAGTCGTCGACGGTCTCTGAATCTGGAGGCGGGACGAGCGGAGAAAGCAGCGGAAACGTCAAATTATGTAGTTGACGAGTCTGGTGTGTCAGGTGGGTCGTGAGTGCCGAGTGAGCGGTAATAAGCCTGGTCAAAGTCAGGAAATAATGCGTGGCTACGGCATGCTGCCGGTGACATACCTCGTTGCGCTTCCCTCGACGCCGGCCTGAGATCCAAGATCCCTCAAGCTCTCCGTTACGCGGCTAAAGACCCCATCCGTGGGCCCCCCGTTGCTCTCTGTCCCTCTTCTAGCTAGTGACTCCACCGCATCGATTTTTGCGACCAGGCTGGGAAGCATGCCTGGAGAGTCGAGATCCGACTCGGACCCATATTCACTGCCATCGTACTCGCTCCCGCTTCTGCGGTGGCCGCGCCGGGGAGGCGACGGAGGGCCCAAGTTGAGATTCCTGGCCTTGCTGCCAGCTTCGCCAAGGCTTGCGACATCAACACCACTGTCCCGTGTTCCCTCTGCGCCCGGTTTGCCATCGGCCTCCTCGACACTGATGTTTGGGGCACCGGTCTCGTCTTCGTAGTATTCTCCCTCGTCACCCGAATCGGAGAAGGCGTCGGCCAGCTCGTCTGCGAGATTCCCCAAGCCGTTCCCAGCAGCCGCGCCCCCACTGGCGTAGGATACATCGAGAGCATCTTGTTGGTTGAAGCTGCCCCTTAGGGGCGTTGTCGATTCGTGTGTTGAAGATCTCGACTGTCGGCGGCGTTGGGGAGACGAGTTTGCGCTGTACTGGTATGAGGCATCGACGCTCGAGGCGTGACGCGAGTGGCTCGGAGTCGAAGGCATCGTGGAGTCGGATCGGAGAAAGGGAGTGGCGGTCGGTCGGTCGGTCGGCAGTACGGGCCCAGAACAGGTGTGGGAAAGCCGTACGGACGAGAGTTATATGTAGAAAAAGCCGGATCGATGACGCTCCGCGGCGTGCGTGTGCTGGCAATCAACAAGCAAAGCAGACGAGTGTTGTTGCTCTGCTTGACCCGGGGTTGCTGGTGCAGAAACAAACAACAGGGGTTGTCGCATCAAATATACAACCAGGAAGACCCAAGTGGAGGACACTGCAGCAGGATGAAGGCGGGTTGGTGCTCGAGGGCCGCAGTCACGCAACAAAAAACAACGTCGAGCGGAGCGGAGCAAATGCTTGTTCGACAGCCCATGCGAGTCAAACTCGTGGAAAACAGAGAACGCGGGCGTGGGCTACGGCAACGGCAGAGGCGATGGCGATGGTGATGGTGATGGTAATGGCGAGTGGCGAGCTTGGGAATATTACCTCTCTTATTAGGAGAGCGGGCGGATTGCGGATAGGGCGAGCGTCCAATTAATGCAATCTGCTGGGCGGGCACGGCGGGCTTTGCTTTGTTGTTGATTATTATCGGCCGATGGATACTCGTAATAAGGTAGGCCGGGCTAAGACGAGATTCCTTTGCGCCTGTGCGTCGGGTCGTCCTCTGTGTCTTGGCCGTGGACCTCTGCAGTTGCTTGAGTACCCACCCAGTGAGGATGCTGCAGGGCAGTTCGACTATGCCCAAACTGCCGTGTAAGTGAAAAAACCAAAGGCATGTACCTGTTTGGGACGATAGGCAGAGGGGAAGGGAAGGTGGAAAAAAAAAAGGAGGCCGAGATGCCGACTTGCTGGATCACCAGCTTGATGTGAGACACTGCCCTGTGGTGTAACTGAAATGTACTCTGTAAGGTGAATCTACGGGGTACCTTACCTTGGGCACCTTACCTACCTACCTTACCTACCTAGGTAAGGCATGTAGCCTGCCCGTGCTACGCTGCTGACTCCTGCGTCTGTGTCCCCTGTGGCCAGACGGGCTTTTCCCATCCAGGGCCCGGTATCCAGGCCGTTTGGGGCATCTGTCAGCTCCTTACCTAGGTAGCACACGGTCCCTGCATGCCCGCTTTCCAGAGCTGTACCTACCTTGGTAAGGTACCTACCTAGGCAAGGTTCCTTACCTAAGTTCCTAAGGCGCCGTCGCACACCTTATTATGTCAGCACAGAAAACCCCTCCCCGTCCACTTTCATTGAGATTCATGGACACGGCTGTTATCGTTCTTGCCTATAAACCTTGTCCGAACAAAAAACATTTAGTTGCCGGCGCTGCTTTCGCGGACCCTTTGTCTTTGTCCGGCCCTCGCGATCCATTCATGCCTAACTCTTCAGCTGTACACCCTGCAGCTTTATCACAGTTGGAGTCTGACCATCACCACCCACAGCCACTTCCTGGCGCCGACACTCCGCGATAGCTCCGACTCCAAGTTCGCGGTCCGGTTCCGCAGTCATGGCCACCTTTCGTCGTTTCCGCCCCGACGATGTCAACAAGTTCTCCAAATGCAACCTCGATCCTCTGACCGAGACGTACGAATTGGCGTTCTACCTCCAGTATCACGCAAAGTGGCCTTCCATGTTCCAGGTTTGCGAGGACATGAATGGAAATATCATCGGCTACAGTACGTCAACAACAACACTGCCAAAGGCATGGTGGACCCATCTGACATGATACCCAGTCATGGGCAAGCTCGAATCTTCGCCCGATGTCTACAAGTTCTCGGAGCACTACCTCCCCTGGCATGCTCACATCACTGCCCTCACCGTCGCGCCCGAAGCGAGAAGGCTGGGCATTGGCAAGATACTCTGTGAGCAGTTGGAGGCCGCCGCCGACGCAAACGATGCTTGGTTCGTCGACTTGTTCGTTCGCACCAGCAATCACAAGGCCATTACGTTCTACAAGAACTTGGGTTACAGCGTCTTTCGCGTGGTCAAGGACTACTATGGCGACCATGCTACGGATCCTACGCTCGATAGCGAGGATGCCTTCGATATGAGAAAACCCATGAAGAGGGACATCAAGCTCCAGCATGTAAGAGACGACGGAGAGAAGCACGAGGTCGATCCATCCGATGTTTGGTGAGAACCTGGACCATCTTCTCCGGCACAACCCGCCTGCACCTCCGATCAGCGCAACGTGTCATCGCCCGCTCAAAGCCACGCTCCGTCGACGTTATAGACGCTGCCGCTTACGAAAGAGCTCTCTGGGCCGAGCAAGAATGCGATGACGTTTCCGCACTCCTCCGCGGTACCCTGGCGTTGGAATGCCGTCGGCTCGTCGAATTGGGCGTCCAACGGGCGGTTGTGGAACTTCCAGGCCTTCTCCATCAGCGGCGTGTAGATGGCCCCGGGAGCTACGGCATTGACCCGCACCTCGCGGCCTCCGTTCTCGTTGGCCGCCGCGCGGGTAAGACCAATTACACCATGTTTGCTGGCGTCATATGCGCCGTGTTTGGCGAAACCTAGGCAGTCGGCTTGTCAGACGAGTTCTCCTGCAATGGGTCCCTCAAAGAAATGACAGCGTACCTTTGACGCCATGTATCGAGGCCACATTGACAATCGAGCCGCCGTCCACTACATTTCTTAATTCCGCCCTGAGGCAGTACATGCACCCCGTCAAGTTGACAGCAATGATCTTGTCCCATTCCTCGTCCTCTAGGTCCGCGACAGCCCGGATGCCGTGGTGCTTGCCTATGACGCCTGCGACGTTGGCCGCTCCGTCCAGACGGCCAAACTGCTCGATGATGCCGCTTATCCAACCTTCGACTTGATCCTTCTTCGAGACGTCCACCCTCGTTACCGAAAACGGCATCTTTTGCTCTGAGAAATAGGCCTCAGCCTCTTTCATGGCATCGGGGTCGACGTCGGCAAGACACACAGTTGCCCCTCGCTTGGCAACGATCTTTGCCGTGGCTAGGCCGATGCCACTGGCACCGCCGGTAAAGGCATAAACCTTTCCTTCGAGTGATGCCATTGCAGTGGCTCTACTTGGATATGAAGATCTGCGAATAGATGCCGCTAAGAGTTCCAAATCGTTGAGTCGAGAGGGGTGTCGTGTGGACAAAACGGGTATCCCAAAGCTGGGCCGCATCGTGAGGGACACGGCCTAATATCCCGTGGATCCGATGCTAAGCCGCCACCAATCACAAGACGCCGGCACAGACTAAGACGGATGTGTTCGCACACACTTGACCCGGACCGAGGAAGGCGAGGGTCTGGGGTAATCGCAGTGCTCAGGATGGCCGTTCGACCCCGAAGCTCGTGAAAAATATCGTCCCGTCACGGCGTTTGCGACTTCACGGGTGCGGGCCAAGCTTCTCTCTCTCGGCTGAAGTGCTCTCGCAGTTAGACGGGCGAGCAAGAGTGGGAAGGACAGCAGATTCCAAAGTTAAGTAAGTGCCTGCCAACTTTGCCGAACCTTCGTCCCATGTGAGAGTTCCATTAGGTTGGTTGCCTTTTCCCTTCAAGATTGAGGGCGTATCTGAAGTTGAGCTGACAGCCGGCGGCCTTCATAGATTCGCACAGACAGCATGCTGGCATCGGCAGTCTAAAAACGTGGCCAACCCTACACAACCTTTGTAGCCAGACATTTACTTAGTGAGTGGACGGGTTGTTCTTTTTGCGCGCTGGGCATGACGGGAGACCTGATATAAGATCAGCTCCCACAGAACACTTCGGTTGTTTGTGTGTGGTGAATGGAACCCCGCAAAAGCAGACCCCGCAGCCCCCCATATCACAGGGGCTCGTGGCGCGGCAGTTCGTGTTTGATTGGTGCCCGTGGAGTCGGAGGACGGGAGCTGCAGCGAGCCCAGCCTGGCTCTCCCCCACCTGACCCGCCATCCTGACGTACATGGTGCCCAGCTCTGCGCCGGCTCTTGCACCTCGCCATGCTCCTTTACCTGTGACGGGATGCAGCTCCTACCCCAGATTTCTCCAACTGTTCCCGTGCCATCCCAAAACTGGGCTAAAGGCGACCATTCCCTTCAAGCTGCGGTAAAACCGAGGGAGGGAAGGGTTTGCATCTTGTCCGAGCCCATCTCCTGATTTTCCCTCTCGCCGCCTCACCTGACCTGACGCTGCATCTGATCTTCCAGAGTCCTTAACATTGTGCGGCCTCCGGCGTTTCTGTTATTTATACAGCAGACTAGAGACGAGCTCTCTACAGTATTCTGAGCTGTATCTTTTAATCTTCTTCTTCCTTCGTGATTGCTGTGGCGAGCGGTGTCCGACTGTCTCTGGAGCCGGTCTCGAAACGATCTCTTCGCCATGCAGCTATTCTCACTCCTGGCCGTCGCCGTGACGGTCGGCGCCTCTACTTTGACGCCTCCCGTTCTTCCGCTGATTGTTCGCAATCCGTACCTCAGCACTTGGTTGGGCAACGCCCGCGATGCGCCTTGGGAACATTGGCCCATGTTCTGGACCGGGAGCAGCGTGAGCTTTAGAGCCACAGTCTTCGTCAAACATACGTGTCGCTGACTTTGAACCGCGCTCCAGGTCGGCTTCTCCGTCATGGCATCTGTTCCAGAGTCCAATACTGTTTATCCGCTGCTCGGACGACCCCAAGACTCCTTGTCCTCGTCTTCCAAGTGTGTTTGACCTGCTTGCGGATGTGGCAACTCCTTGAACTAACATTCTTCCCGAAACTACAATATAGCCTTCCCAACATACCTAGGCGCTACCTTTGATGCTTCGACCACAAATCTGTCGTACTCGATTGCTCCGCCAAAGGGGTCTTCGGCGCCGGTCACAATCGTCCTTTCGTTTCTGTCCCCAATCACGCCCACGTCAACCTTCCGCCAATCCGTACCTGCTGCGTATCTGACAATTCATGCCGAGGGGTCCTTCGATATCAACATCTACACCGATTTGAATGGCGAGTGGGTGAGCGGCAACCGGGACAACAAGATTGTCTGGGATCTCCTCAAGCCCCAAGGCGCCAAGGAGCAAAGTGCGGTCCTGAAGACCTGGCAGGTCTCAAGGCAAACACAACAACTTCTTACCGAGTTCGCCGACCACGCAGAATGGGGAACGCTGCATTTCACTGGCCCCGCCGACGTCTATCACCAATCAGGGACGTCTGGAATCCTGCGACAGCACTTTGCAACCAAAGGTGATTTGAAGAACGAGGTAGATACTTTGTACCGGAAGATCATGGACGAGGAGCCGGTGTTTGCCTTTGCCAAGACATTCCACCTAAGTAACAACACAGGGGCCGGTCTTTCATCGACAGACAGCGTGTTGTTCACTTTCGCCCTTGTTCAAGATCCAGTTGTCCAGTTTGCAGCCGCCAGAGGGTTGACGCAGATGAGGCCTCTGTGGTCGTTCTACTTTGCAACCTCACCCGAGCTAATCCAATACCACTATGATGACTTTGCTGTCGCCAACCTACTGGCAAGAAACTATTCGGACCAGCTGGCCGTTGACGCGTTTGCCTCCGGCTCCCAGGACTACCAAGACATTGCTGCTCTGTCTGCCCGCCAAGTCCTCGGTGCAACCCAGTTCTCAGGAACTCCTGACGACCCCATCCTGTTCCTAAAGGAAATATCTTCAAATGGAAACTTCCAGACTGTCGACGTCATCTTCCCAGCATTCCCATTCTTCCTGTACACGAATCCTCGCTGGCTTGCTTACCTTCTCGAACCTCTTTTGGAACATCAACTGAGCGGCCAATACCCGAATGACTACAGTATGCATGATTTGGGCTCACATTTCCCCAATGCTACTGGACACCCCGATGGCAGAGATGAGTACATGCCCGTGGAGGAGTGCGGAAACATGCTCATCATGGGGTTGGCCCTTGTCAACGCCTTCAAGTACGACACTCAGCCGGCGTTCATCCAGTCCGTTGATGGTCTTGCTGGTCCACTAACGTTGTTGGACCCCAATAACTCCGGCGGGCGACCCTTGGCGCTGTCTCCCGATGTCTATGGCATGGATCGTTCATCAGCTGTCACTGCCTTCAGAGGAGCCAAGGAGGCTGAAAAGTGGGTGTCCAGGTCTTACGAACTTTGGACCAAGTGGACGGGATATCTCGTTCGCGAGTCGCTCATCCCAGCCAACCAGCTCTGCACTGATGATTTTGCCGGCTGGCTTGCCAATCAAACAAACCTCGCCTTGAAAGGCATCATTGGGATCAAGGCCATGGCCGAGATCGCCGACGTGTTGGGGAAGACGGATGACTCCAAGTACTACTCGGACATCGCCAGCGACTACATTGAACAATGGCAAGGCTTCGGAATCTCAAGAGACGGCTCCCACGCCAAGCTGGCGTACACGTGGTACGGCTCTTGGACGACCATCTACAACCTCTACGCAGACTCCCTGCTTTGCTTCCACTTGCCAGAACGAAAGGCGGCATTACGGGGTGGACGTATCGCAGAGTGGTTGCAAACGACCTTGGGTATGGGCTCTAAGACGTCTTTCATCCCGGACAAGGTCTACAGCATGCAGAGCAACTGGTACCATGCGGTTCTGCAGCATTACGGCCTTCCGCTGGACAGCCGTCATCTGTATACGAAGAGCGACTGGCAATTCTTCGCCGCGGCCGTCACAAGCAAGAAAACTCGCACTGAAATACTTCAGAGTATCGCGGGATGGGTCAACGAGACGACAACTGGTAAGAGGGCAGTATTTGATGACCGAGCCTGAGACATGCTAACAAAGCCACCGTAGACCGACCTATGACCGACCTGTACGAGACGGAGGGCACTGGCGGATGGCCCGGGCCACATTTTATGGCCAGACCTGTTGTTGGGGGCCACTTTGCCTTCCTGGCATTGGAGAGAGCATGTGGAGGAAAGGCAGTCGAAGGTCTCAGCTTCTTAGATGAGCCGGGGGCGTTCACGGAAATAGATGTCCTTAGGGCTCTCGAGGTAGAGACTGTCGAGGGAGGGGACGTTGAGCAACTACCAGTGATGGAAGACTTGTAGAGCTCGTAATCCATTGAGACCGGAACCTAATGTAAGCGTAGTCGGAGTATCAATAGCCGAATATCGATTCGATTGGGCCTCGGTCGTTCATCAACCCATAAAAATTGCTATGTATTAGAAGAGCCGTTGCGCATCACACAAACAAACACCTTTG